GCATGATCATCACGGTACGAAAGACTACTATATATAAGGTTGGGCGTGGGTTGGGTCAACCTGTGGGCTGACCTGGCCTAGCATGCCATGAGTCATGACCCGGTCTGGCCCGTAGTGGGCCAAGCTTGACCTGTCCTATGATATACCCGGGTCACGGGTCAGGTCGGATCCAGTTCTATATCCGGTGTTAGAGAAGTAAATCTGGCCCATACTGACCCAGCCTACATTCAACTCAGACCGGCTCAGCCCGATCCGTTCTGACCCATGATATATTTTAGTTAGTCTAGCTGTCCCTTTAGCCCTTTGAGTCTACAGCTAGCTGCCAACAAATCCAAAAGACCATAGGTTTTTGACTCGTATGCCTTTTGGCCTATTGAGAAACATAGCAACGATCTTTAACCTCATTGTTTGTCTACTTGAAAAGATTAAAAAGTTTAATTCAAGTTTAAAAATAGTTTAATACAAGTTTAAATTATTAAAAATAAATTAAAAATAATTATATAATTGTAAATACAAGTTTTATATAATTAAAAAGTCTAAATAGGAAAAAAAAGTTGGACGAGGCTGGCGGGCTGGGTCAGACCCGACCCATACCTAGGTGGGTTCTGGGCCCAATCTCAGACCTGGGATCAGAGAAGTAGGCCCGGCCCACTCTGACCCGACTAGGCCCATGTTTGACCCCGCCCAGCCTTGAACTCGGTGGGCCGGGTCACGGGCCTGAACCGGTTCGGCCCACGCTCACTCCTAACTATATATTGGATGACGACGGCTTAGAAGAGACTATTACAATCAAATCAAAAATTCTGTTATTGTATTTATTTTTATTGCCTTTTACTTTTAGCTGCTATTTAGTATCTCGTGATTTTATGCTTTAAGATTTTATTTGGACTTGTAAGTTAATTTCTTTACTTTAATGCAATTTACCTTGCTGTAATTTATTTTCTCACAGTTTACCACTTTTTCAACCAAGCTCCGAGGGCAACCCCTATAGGATAGGAGTAGTATAATTTTTTTCTTTGTCCTTGAGTTTATCTTGCAACAATTTCATTTAAGTTAATTTTATAATAGTAGGAGTAGATTTATGGTAAGATGATAATGGTATTTAGAGACGGTTTAATAGTGATTATCACATTCTGATGACATCTCATGTCAGATTGCCTTCCTATCTTATCAGATGAGTCCTTTAAAGAAAATACAATTTTAAGACATACTATCGGCTTTCCAATTAGGAAAGACTTTCTCGTATTGGAGTGCACTCTCTATGATGTGAACCACTAAACTTCTACCATTAAACTTCAAGCGGCTAGCGACTGATTTTAGAACAAACAATTATATATTAGCCAAGCACATTGAAACCCACATCCTTTTTCACTCCCATCCCCCTTATGTAATATTCATTTAAATTCAAGGCGTGCTACTTTTATTCATATTATTAAGATATTATTAGGGTTCGTTTGGACATCATGGTGTTTTTCTTGTGTGTTTTTGTAAAAAAACACCATAGTGTTGTCTTTTTCCCTTAAAGTGTTCTCAAACACCATGTTCAGTGTTTTTGGTCAACCCTAGTTTGACACGTAACAACATTATTATTAATACATTATTACTATATTATATATTAATTATAATAAAATATTTTATAAATAAAATATTATAATATATAGTTTACATTATTATAGTATTATAAATATTAAAAATAATACAATATAATATTATATAACATATTATAATATTATATTGTACTTTAGTGTGTTATATTATATTATAATGATTACATATTATTTTCAAATAATATCATATTTAATTATTTTGGTATACCAATTTTATATTATATAATATTTTTAAATAATATTATTTTATTGTTAATATAATATTATATAATTATTAATATCATATAACATTATTAATAATGTTGATATTATGTTATTACTATTATATTAATAATAAATTAATATATTATAAATATTTTAATGTTATATAATATATTATAGTTTTTAATATGCTAGAGTTTATTATTATTATTAATATGTTACTATTATATAATATTTTATAATTATTAATTTATTATAGTTTATTTATTAGAAGTTAATAATATTATAGTGATTATAATATTGTATTGTATATTATTATATAATTATTATATTACTATTTATTATCACTAATATTTTTATTTATTTTTATTAGCTTCTTTATATTCTATTATTTATTTATTATTATATAGATATTTTATTATTATTATGCTTTTATATTATTTAATAAACATTTTTAATATAGATTAACCATAATATAATATAGTATAATGTCATTTAATATAATAAGCATGTTGATAATAACTATATATTAATTATATTTAATATATTATGTTAGATATTATATTAACACCTCATCAAACTCAAAATCAAAACACCAAACTTAAAACACCTAAAATGTGTTTTGAAATAAGTGTAGTGATTTTGGTTTAAAGATGATTTAGCTTAAAAAACATCATGGTTTTCAAACGCATGGTGTTTTATTTTTGGCAAAAACACCATGAAAACAAGTAAAACGTCATGGTATCCAAACGGGTTTAAGGGGTCTATATGGTGCTAAGAAGTTCGAGTTTAAGGGGTCTATATGAGGGAAATTTATCACAAAGCCTCCAATGAGTTCTAGCTTTTGGCGCTCAACCCTTCAAAAAGTTTGAAAAACTCACTAAACTCCCCACAAGTTTGGGAATTTTGGTAACAAAAGGTTGAGCTACACGGGGAAGAGTTTTATCAATTGGCAGGTTTGTGTATGGGACTTCAAATCAACCCTCTTGATTTCAGTAAGGTTGACAGTATTGCTAGTTCCTAAACAACATGGTTGAATTACTCTGCTAGTTTGCATGAGAAGTTCTCGAGATCAGCTTTTGCTCCTAGCTAAGCTTTTGAGCTAATTTAGTTCTAACCTATGTTTAAGTTTAAGTCGCAAAGGGACTCAATTTCTCCCAAACAAATGGCATTAAAGTTAGTTTGTGATGCTAAGGAGGACCAAGCCTGGATGGTGTATGATGCCGTCGAACGAATAATTTGGTTAACCCAGGGAAATCTCTTGTTCACAGATGATGCAGGCTGCAGCCCATAAAAGATGAAAGATCCCATTGCTAGTTCTCCGTCTACTCCCCTTCTCGCCCGCCGCCTCTCCCTTTCCCTCGCCGCCTCTTGCAGCCTCTCCGACGCCCCTCTCCGCCGTCTGTCCTTCTCCGATCATCGCCGTGGCCGCATCCTCCAAGCTCCCTTCTCTTCCATTTTCTCTCCCTCTCCGCCTCTTTATTTACTTTATTACAAAATTTGTCTGCCGATAAAACCCTGATTTTTAACTCAACTAGCTCTCCCTCAACCAAAGTTTCAATGGATCCCCAAGAAACATCTGTCGCCTGAAAACTGTAATTATACTCGGAATCACTGATTACAGTGTGCCTATGTTGGCTTGGCATCATAACCCTACTACAAGCAATCAAGGGTTAACGCCTTTTTTTTATTATATGTATAGCCTAATTGGAATGTCACTGCGATTCGATCGGTCATACCTAGGACCACTTGGTTTCATCGCCTAGCTATGGAAACCCGAGTTCTCTAACAGATTGTTTGCTTCCTGAAAATATCATGCTGCATGCTCCATCTTTTTCCTATTTTAGCACAATGGCGACACTTCTATTATGGTTCAGATGAAAATCAGGCGACTAATAAACAGTTAGTCCACAAATATTGAAAGATCCTATGGATGCAAGTATCATGGTTATTTTCCCATGATAGCTGGTTTAGACTAAAACTGGATTAACCCACAAACAATGGATAGTCATGAAGATTAATTAGCCACAAGAGTAAACAATGGCTAGCCCACAAACGACGAACGATCCTATAGATAGGGATGGTCATGTTTTGTTCCATGATGCTGGTTTAGACCAAGTGAGTAAATGGCCCACAGTTCCTCTCTTAGATGATTCACGTCACAATTGAAGGAAAAGAATGTTGAAAACCTGAAGTATGAGTATAATCCGAACTTTGTAAAGTTACGTAAAAATGAACAACAAGAAGCTTGGGACCAATACATGATAGCTTAAGTTGTAGATTGATTTGGTTTGCAGCACAAGTTTCATGACCATTTAGCTCCAAAGGAAGTACGATTTCTTCCCAACACAAAGCATAAACCCTAGACGGCTAGTAATGACGCTGAAGGATGGATAAAAACAGAAAAAAAGACATGCTTGGTAAAGACTTTTCGAAAAGCAAATTGGCTATAAATTGATAACAGATATAAAAAGCATCTGCTAGTTTATTGATGTAGGATGCATAACGATGAAATTCATAGAGAAGTGGGACCTTCACGAGTCAAATGCGGATATAGATGAATTATTGACCAACTACAGAGAAACAACCATATCTCCCAATTCCGAAGGCAGTATTATATATGAAAATCGTCTATCTCGATGAGACGGAGTCAATTAGCTTGGCAGAATCCCACAATCCCATTAGTAACACCCGTTTTAACAGGATTTCAAAAATAATCAGCCTTTAGTTTATTTTTAGTAATAAAGTTAGAGATGTTTTAGATTATGAAACAAAATCAAATTTGATTTAATTGGGACTGATTTATTTTCTTTATTATAGAGAGTCTTTTAGGAAGTATTAAATTATTTCTTTCTTTTAGGAATGCTATTATTA